AATGCTCTATAACTACCAGTGAAATGACATCCACAAGGTAAAGAAAGGAAGGGACAATGAAAAACCAAATATGTGGATCGGGCACTACCATCTGGGAAAAGACACAACTGTGAGACGGGACAGTATTTCAAGACACACTCATTTCCATGTAATATAGACAGTAGATTCCTTAGGGAAGTGAGGAACTCTGCTGACAGGTTCCAATTTTCACACTCAGATGATTTCAGAGAAGTTAGCCTGATAAACAAGCAATGAAGTGGACAATTGGGTCACTACATTATTGGGAAAATTGTATTCCCAGTTGAAAAGGAGTAACAGATACTAAGGCTTTCGCTAGAGGTAGTCAGATTAATCTCCAGATTTTCCTTGTAGATCAGGTTCTACCAAGGAATGATCCTTGGTCAAGTGCTGGGACACTTACAAGGTAAAATGTCAGTAAGTCCAGGAAGGTGGAGGTGACACTGATGGGAACAGTTCACTGTGATGACGAGTCACCACCATACTTCCAGTTATGTAGGCAACTTTCTGGTAACTACACAGCAGTAACTTCTGGAACCTTGGAACAACTTACCTGGTGCTACCTAGCTAAGAGTACAATTCTAGGAAAAGGGAAGGTTTGAATAGATTTATATCAGTACTTTGTGGTGGTGGTAAGGGTAGGGTTCTGATAAGACTCAACTTGTAAAAGACTTTGTGGGATTTTCAGCATACACTGGCCCCCTTCATCTCTCTCTAGTTAATTGCCAAAGGCTTTGCAGTGCCTTACTTTTGTTTCTCTGGCGAAAACACCCATCAACTTGTAGATCAGTCTTCAATTGCAGGGAGCAGGGGTAGATGTACAGAACCAATTAATTATGGTACCTTGTCAAAATGTAAGGTGGGACCCTGTACCCATTGGAGACCTGGAGGATCCAGGCAGATGGCATCAGATTGGCTTAGCTCTGGATGTTAGTTGTTTGGCGAGTGAATCAATGGATGGAAGATCTTCCTCGATCTATATCTTTTGTAATTAAAAAACAAAAAGGAAGCAACGTTCAGAGTCTCTAGTGTCTATTACCTGTAGTTTGTAGCTGTCATTTCTGCAACTTGGGGATTCTGATGCTTGTTTTCTCTTCTAATGTTTGAAATCCATGGCTGTGAGAAGGCTGCAATGGACTCTTTCACCCTATGAAAGCAACAGCTGCTACCTCCTAAGATCTTTTGCAACTGCATGTGTGAAATGCCTATCCCATAGCAGCATGCAGAGTAAGAATTAAACCTGTCAATGGCGCAAATTACAAGGCTTCATATTTTAAGTTCATCCTGCAAGAAGAAAAGAGTGGACAACATGGACTAAGTTTCCAGAAGCCTATCCCTAGATGCCCTCTTATTAATGAAATTTACACACTGGGGCTTAGATACAGAAAAATTTCAACGAACTGTGAAAATGAGACATTTAGAAGTCTTAGATACCACTTACAGGATTTATTTATAATGTGCTATCTAACATTCAGCTGTATGAAAAAACTTAAAGCCCAACTCCATAATACTATAGACACAACCACACAAAACACATTTGAGTATTGGTGCTTTGCAATTAGTGAACAACCAGTATACTTACATAACACGGCTTGCTGAAACCCAGGAAAACCATCATTGATTTTATTTCTTTTCCTTGACTCTAGTTTTCCTGCTGCCATTTAACCCTACATAGATGTCTCAATGGGTGCCTTTTAGACTCCAATACAGATTTCAATGTAGGTACAACTTTGACCTTTCTAGTTGCTCTAGGTTAATAAAGCAGGGTATCCTTAATTGCATTTAATGCAATCAATTCCTTTTTACAAGTACAACAGCAAATCAAATATCCTCTAACGAAAGAAGGAACGCTTTCAAAAACCTTTGTCCTTTTCTGTTCTTCAAATCTGTTAACTTCCATTGTATCAAGTGGTAATTTTTTCATGTTTGTGAAGTGGCAACCTACCTTAGCAACAAATTGGAAATCCAGTAACTTTTTAAAGTACAAGATTACACACTTGGATATCAAGCTATGAAAATTCCTAAGGTAATTTCAGTTCACATTAGAGGTCGAAACCTGAATAAACTATTTTACAGTATTCTAAATGTATTTCTCTTTGTCGTAAGAAAAACATGCATGGGACTGGAAATGAGAACAACAATCCTTACCAATATTCTTCTCGGGCTTCAATTCCTTCCCTGTTAAAAGCTTTTGTCTGGGCAGCCATCCCATTATAGCACTGTTCATATTTTGTTGACTTTAGTGTTCTTACCCCTAAATATCCAGAAAAACCTTTGCACTGATCAACAATGTCTCAGTCTCTTGACCGACCTAATATGAAATTTTTTCCTAAGTTCCTTCCAAAACTCCCCAACAGCATTATTAGTATGACTGCTATTCTGCGAGGCACAGCAATAAAACTATTCAGCTGTTCATTATCCCCCACTATGCACATTACATGCAATTCATTTCCTACTTACTGTTTATTTGCTTATTATCTTCACTAGTTTTGTCAAATAATAATTTATAAGGATTTTTTTCCACTGCCATACTTTTACTTGAAGTCATTCATACTCCACTGACAAGCTAATATCAGAACAATAAAAGTATGTGGCTAGGGCCCAGCTGCGTGGCCTAGCGGCTCAAGTCCTTGCCTTAAACACACTGGGATCCCATATGGGCGCCGGTTCTAATCCCAGCAGCTCCACTTCCCATCCAGCTCCCTCCTTGTGGCCTGGGAAAGCAGTCGAGGATGGCCCAAAGCGTTGGGACCCTGTACCCCTGTGGGAGACCTGGAAGAACTTTCTGGATCCTGTCTTTGGATAGGCATAGCATCAGCCGTTGCACTCACTTGGGGAGTGAATCATTGGACGGAAGAACTTCCTCTGTCTCTCCTCTCTGTATATCTGACTCCCCTCTCCCCCCCACCAAAAAAGTATGTGGCTAAAACCTTCAGTACCATGGCCCACTATCAACCCTGAATGATATCAGATTCGCCTCTGAAACAGTTCACTGGCTGTAGTGGTCAGTCATTCACATGGCAGCACCATCCATCTCCCTGCTTGTGGCCTGGGAAAGCAGTCGAGGGCAGGCCAAACTCTTGGGTTCCTGCACCTGTGTGGGAGACCCGGAAGAGTTCCTGGCTCCTAACTTCAGATCGGTGCAGCACCGGCCACTGTGGTACTTGGGGAGCGAATCATCTGACAGAGGGTCATTCACATGGCAGCACAGTGAAGATGGTTGCCAGAACTAAGCACAACTTAAGCAAAATTGTTAAGATTTACACTTACGTATTCTGCAACAACTTATACAAATCATACTGCTCCATCAGGTCACTTCTAAACCCTAGCAGTTAAATGTCGTTTATCTGTCCTGCTTATTTTCCCTATTATAGACTGTACTTTGCTACACCCAAAATTCTTTGAACAAAATCCTCTTGCCACTCAGTAATTTATAGGATGCCTGTACTGTTACTGTACATTCTGTGTATTAAATAAGGGTTAAGTCTGCTCTGTTCTTGTCAGCACATTTTTCTCAATCCTTACGTAACTCCAGGTCATTACAAATGACATTTTCTGAAGGACAGCCTTCAATTAATTTTTGTGTTAGTGAGGGAACAGCAAAATACACACAAGCGTTTTAGCTTGTGGGATTCATTCCCAAATGGCAAGCATCAGAGAGAAATGTTTCAAATAATTGCAATCCACTCCTAACAATTGTTAGCTGATAGCAGAAATGCCAATTCTTTTGCTTTTACCTGCATTATTCTGCCTACTATTTGGTATATTCAGTGACACCAGTCTAGCATTCCTCCCTTAGCATTCACAGGCCTTTCTAAAAAACATATGATACTATCCTACCTGTAGCTACCTGTACATTATTATGTGCTATATATAATCATTTTGCCTAGCTTTGTCCAAGAATTATAGTAAATGAGTATTACTGATTTAGAGTACCATCATCTGAGTAATATATGAAGAAATTAACTCACAGTAGCATTGCGAGAATACTTCCTCAGGACAAAGAATTGCTTTCTGCCCTATGAAATTAAAGGCAACCAGAAACAATAACCAAATACATTATTCTGGTGGCCTAAGAGGCCCTACAGTGAAGGAAAAAGTGGATGTTTTCAATTCTGGATTAAATTTTTCTGTACCTTGTAAACACTTGTGGCTAAATATCATACTAAATGAATCACCAGTATTATATTTCACTATATAGACTTATAGTATCTTGTTTTAGTTGTACTACTAAAAAATTTGTGTAACACATCAGGAAACAGAATGGATGGAACCTTTTGACCAAAGTGACAATTGTAGATGCTGTATCTGGGTCGCAAGGGTCATATAACTCAGTCTCTTTCCTTTTTTTTCTTCTATCATGTAAATTGATCTAACATATTTAAATCAACGACTTTTGCCACAGTAGGTAGGATGTAAAATATGCCTGTGCAAAATCTGCCTTCACATGATTGAAAAAAATTAAGTATAGAATACAACCAGCTGTAGCTTTACATAAGCAAGCATCCTGAACATGGCAGACAATTAATATACAATCAAGTCAGGGGAACAGGACAAACAATCAGTAAATATGAACAAAAAGTTCTTTAAAATAAAAGATATACAATCCTTCATTCTCAGTTACCTGGGAAGGCACAAACTGCAGAAGACGAGGAAAGAATGAACTTTCCAATTTTTACTAACATGGAGGCACAAAACTCAGAATCCAGAAGGTTAACTGGGGCTTAGAAGAGAATTTAAGACAATCTCTACTCCATGTTTGAAATGATTTAACTCCTAAATGCAATACCCACTTCAATGAAATATAATTTGTCCAGTGTATGTTGGTATGCACAATGATCAATAGTCCAAGAAAACTGTATCTAGGATATTCTAGGAGCTTGTGAACGTTGCTGTGAAACAAAGAAGTTGAAGTAAACAGTAATAAAATACAAAATAATAATAATAGTAATAAAATAAAAACCAGGGCTTTTTCCTCCAAATTCCTGGTTTAATAAGGACTTGTTTATTTTGAGAAAAAAAGGTCCCAACATCAGGCTGTTCACAAAAATAACCCACAGTATCAACTTTAGAAAACAAATATTAAGACTATTACACTACTTTTTTTTTCTAGAGGATGCATTTGACATGCCAACTCTCATTCACAAAAATACATTGTTACAGTTGTGTTGAACAGCCCCACACAGCACTATCATGTGGGGTAGAGCACACACACCTTTAACTCAAAGCTGCTCGCAGGTGCTACTCAGCTAAATGAGATGGCCTTTGCAGTTAGGGAAGCAACTACGGAACTCATGTATGCATGGAAAGAACTGTACTCCCTGCATTAACAAGAGATTATTTTGGAGACAGTCGATAAAAACCATACATCCTTTTTTATTGTTAAGTCAAAGAGGTATCAAAATTAAAAGCAAAAATTACAGGGCAAAAGACTTAACAAAACTACCAGGAGCAAAGGAAGTGAAAATGGGACTAGGCGCAGGGAAATGAATTAATGAACACGGGAAAGACAAGGATGGGGCAAACAGTGAGCATGTGCTGAAGATACTAGGGGAGAGGATCTGGTGAAAATTTTGATCTTAGACAAGCGCCTAGATAAAGAAATAATGGATAAGATTCTAAGCCCCACTATGTGCTTAAGAGTCATCCTCGCCATTGGCGCTGTCTCTGTCATCCTCTCCTTCCTCAGCCTCTTTTTCATCATCCTTGATCAACTCCAGCTGTGAGAAACAGACACAAACAGGATGGAGTTAGAGGCACTCCATGTGTCCCTGATCCCCCCTCCACCACCTCTTTCTTTCCTTTCCCATGGTTTTCACCTGGTCATCCCCCCGATCTTCATTATCATCATCATCCAGTAGGTCCCCCTCCTCAGCAGAGTCATCTGCACCCCCCTCAGACTCCATCTTCACATTAGTCTCATCTTTCTTCAGGGAGCTGCTGCTCTGCTCCTCTTCTGACTTATCATTCTTCATCTCTACTGGGGATGAGAAGGACAAGTCTGTCTAGGGGCAAATAATGTCCACAGGATGTAGACAATCCCCACTAATGATCATAGAACTGCAGCACATGCCTAAATCCTCCCACACGAATGCCCTTCCCAATTCAAACTGTGAAGTTTCATATTAAATTGCCTTATATCCCACTACTGCACAATATACTCCCAACTAGCTTTAATTAACTAATCCACTTGTAGATCAAATAAGCAGAAACACCATTTACCTGTTTGTTTGCTCTGTTCCTTTTCAATTTTTTCCAGGCTTTCCAGAAGAGAATCCACTTTTTGTTTTATTTGGGTCAACTCCTTCTTAATGGACTGAAGGTCATCTCCTTTCACTGTAATGCAAGTAAAACCCTAGATTAGACTCACATAGACTAGAAACTGACAATTACCAAACAGATTCCTCCAAGACTACTCCAAGAGCGAAGATACCTGAGGAGAAAGGAGAAATGAAGCCAGTGCCAACTGTCAAAGTAACAAATAGAAACCTTTCAGCTGGTAGTGAAAATTCAATGCCTATTCCCTCGGAAAGTTTTTTGGTCATGTTAAACACCTTGCTGTGATGTCTTAAGACTTACTTTTCCCTTTAGAAGAATTTAATACAGGGAAGTGAAAACAAATCTTTATAAATAATAAATTATTTGAAGTTAACAGTTCATAAACTCCTAATGAGGTGCTTCAACTTTCAAATCAAACGAGCAATGTTGTTAGGGTTGAAATATTTTCTCCGCTGTTATTTTCAGTGTATGAAGAAATGTTAACAAAACCTAAATGCCATGGGGCCTGGAACAATGGCTGAACTGGCTAACCCTCCACGAGCAGGCATTTCATGAGGGGCAGGTTCATGTTCCAGCTAACTTGCCATTCAGCTCACTGCTTATAGCCTGGGAATGAGGCAAGGAGGCCCAAAGCCTTATGCACTGCATGGGTATGGGTGACCAAGAAGCTCCAGGGCTCAGATTATCACCAACTTTTGTGGACATTATGGGAAGTAAATCAGCAGGTGAAAAATCTTTTCCTCTGTCTCTCCTCTCTCTAGATGTACTGTTACGATAAAAATAACAAACCTAAATATTATGACTGCATATCCAAACCCCAACATTTACGTGAATCATAAAGCTAGTACACATACATTTTCCAGATTTGGAAGAAGATCCTCGTTGTCCACTCTTAGAATTGAAACCACTTTTCCCCCTTCTTGAAGTGTTTCCTGATACGCGCTGGCGTTTAGAGGGCACTACAGCCCGAGCAATAGGAGGAGGAGGAGGAACACGCGCTGGGTAACTGTACATCCTATTGAGAAGAGAAATGGAATTACTTTAACCTTAAATAAATCAAACAAAGTCCAATACAGGCCTTATAAATTAAAAAAATCTGTGGCTTCACATTTTTGTTAAAACAGTTAAATATGGCAACATTTCTTCAATACATTACATACATACCAGCGATATCCTAAGATGGCAGTGTTATCACAGCACATTACCCTTTGCCATATACTTGATATGTTACAAAACAGTGTAATTAGCAAGCACTGCTAAGACAAATCATTGATTTTTATCACATAAACATACAAATTACAACCTTACTGATACTAGCCCGAGTTCCACAGAATTGCCAACATCCAGAACTTTTTGACCAATAAAAAAATCAATGTGCTACAACAGGAACTACCACCATTCATTGTACAAAAAATATTGATATTTTCAAAAGACACTGTCTGGAGGTAAATCAAAACAAGGAATTCAGCAGTCTAGAGAGTGCTGGAGGGTAGAGAGACTGAAATCTAATCTTCCAATCTACAATATATCTGACCTTACAAATTTTTCACCATGTGTGGAGGGAAGTTGCATGAACAAGGCAGAATAAGAGTTATATGAACTCATGAACCAGAATTTTGAAACAGTTTGCCTATCACTGTCATCAATCATGAGGCTTGGAGCCCCATGGCTTTGTAGATAAAAAGAGTGTGAGTTAATGAGTCTGCAGGACATCACTGCAACTATAAAGAAATCACAATCAACAATTAATGCTGTAAACTCAGAATGTTTGTGAATCTTCAGGCATACTTGAATGAAAATTGCCCATAAACCCTTCAGGTGGGCTCAGGGAATCTCTTTAAGTGTACATGCTCATGAATAAGCATCCACAATCGTAAGTTGCATTTAAACAAAAATAAAATTGTTCTACCCTCCACTCAAAACATAGGTGCCACAATTGGAACATTTCTAAGTGTTCTGTGAATGAGCTTGTTTGTAAGCAGATGGCTCAATTACTTAGGGATGTCACCCATGCCAGAGACCAAAATGGCTGCTTTTTTTTTTGACATGGTCCAGCTGGTATTGACATGATCCAGATGTAGGTGTTCCATCCACTTAGACCCTATGGGTAACATTTTTAATCTCAGCAGCCCCCGCTTCCCAAAGCTCCCAGCTGACCTAAAGCCTTGGGACCTGCACAAACTTTGAGACCTGGAAGAGGCTCCACACTCCATGGATTTGGATTGGCTAAAGCCCAGCCATTGCGGCGACTTGGGGAAGTCAATCAACACAAGGAAGATCATCCTCTCTGTAAATTTGCCTAATAAAAATAAAATAAATCTTGGGTTCGGCCTGATAGCATATCTGCTAAACTGCCTGCATGCGCTGGAATTCCATATGGGCACAGTTCTAATCACAGCAGTCCCACTTCACATCCAACTGCCAGCTTGTGGTTTGGGAAAGCAGTCAAGGATGGCCCAAAGCCTTGGGACCCTGCATCCATGTGGGAGACCCAATAAAAATAAATAAATCTTAAATAAATTAATGAATAAAATCTTAAAACGAGCCTTTTCTGTTTATCTGCCTATCCAATAAAAATAAAATTTTTCAAAATTAGAACAATGATTTTTGCTCCCTACACAATGTAAAAGTTCATTGAGTTGACAGTGCTGTGACTTCGCAGTTTAAGCCTCCCTTTGAGATGTCCACATTCCCCTTAGCCACCAGGTGATGCAACTTGCTGATGGACTTTTCTCTCTGTACTGTCACATGCTGGCAAATTTCTGCAACTTGAAATTATAAAATAGACAGGCTGTAGTACAAAGGAAGACCGTGTCCAATGATTTTTACATTCTCATTCTAAGGAAATCATGTACATAAAATGGATTAACAGCACGGTTGACTGTAAAGACAATACTAATGAATTTTGGAGTTTGCAATAATTTCAATCTTGATTGTTACAGTTATGCAACTACATATTTTGTATACCAAACATTGTCAAAACTATAGAAGAAAAAATTTCATCATGTGTTTCCTAAACTGTGGAGGATTTTCCACATGGTTGGAGCTATGGCAACAACTTGGAAAGTTCATGGATCTTGTCTTTTTTCCAGCCCAGACCATGGTGTTGCAGGTACTGAGAATGAACTAGCAACTGAAGATAAATTAGCATACTTCACAGTTGCAATCCTGATCCCTAAAACTTCTTACTTCTATTTTCTCGTTATACAGCATACTTATTTAAAAATCGGTAACCACAAGTACAAAAATGTGTGTAATTAACACCCTTTGAATTGCATATCTAATAAAACTTATTTAAACGGGCACTTTTATTGGAGAAATATAAGATTTATTCTTTACCTCAAGTATCTCAAAGAGCATTCATTCGAAAATGTTGGCCACATTTTTTTTCCCTTTATACTCTCAAATGATCCACAGGCTAATCACTACCTTCAAAAATCTTACTAGTTATAATCTAAAATGACTGCTGCTCACCAGCCAATCACATCTTCATAATGAGTGAAGTTATTAAATGCTTTCTATACAAAAGAATAGCTACTTTCCATATGATCATAAAGCACATGATGAAATATGCAATTGCAAACAAAACTAACACTCCAGCACAGCCAGTTAAGTCGCTGCATCCACCACTGACATCACTTCAGAACTGAACAACTCATACATATGCTGTAAACTTTAAATGGGTCAACTGTTAATATGAACTCCAAAGTCACTACAAAATGTCCAAAAACCTAGTAAATTTTCTCTCCTGTATTTATCTCTTCAAAAGAAAAAGTGGTGACACCTTTGAGCCTTTGTCCTAGGGCCATGTACTAAGGCAATCAGGAATTCTCCTTTGTATATGGAGAATTACATCTTTGAGGTGAACCTTTAAAAGATGCCATTTCAATCATTAATCCAAGTCCTTTTCCACTTTTCCTCCTGCCACTCACTATGGCAGTGGTCTAGGGTTTTTCTTTCTTTTCTCCTCCTGGCAGGAATTACAGTGTCCTTTCTATCTCAGCTTTTCTAATAAATCTTACTTAAAAAAAAAATTTACCTGAAGAATGTACTATTTAGCACTTAATGGCTACGAATACTAGAATCTGCCTTGGCTTTCGGTAAAAACACAGTATGAACACAACTCACTTCAAAGTCACAGACTGTTCAAAAGTCAAATAGTTCTTTTGAAACACACTGAGGTAGGTAAGAACAGCCAAAAAGGCCTTAGAATTTCACCTTCTCTAGTGTAACAAAAGTCAAATATTCTCAGAAGAATCCAGACTACTCAAATAACAGCCCTTTGAGGCACCACTGTGGAGAATAATGTTCCAGGGCTGTTACTCTCTTCCCTATTCACACATAAGCCCAAATCCGGCACTCTCCGGAAAATCAAAGAAATAAAAAAGGTAACTATTTTTTCCTTTAAGCTGTAATTTTATTTGTAACATTAATGTCCCTATCAACTACCTTACTAATAAGAATTTCAGCGTTTTACTCTTTACTCCTCACGAGCACCTACTCTCATATCATTATCTGAAAGTTGCAGATCTGCTATAGCTGGTTCATCCTGAAATGGCTGCAACAGGCAAAACCGGGAGCCATATAAACCCATGTGCACACAGAGGTCCAGCTTCTAGTTTTCTCAAACCATTAGCAGGAGCCTAAACCAGAATTAGTCAGGAAGCTAACTAGTCCCACAGAAAAGCTGTCATCGCATGTAACAGCATTACTAAGCAACACCCACACCTTTAAAGGACTTGAGTACATTTTTAGAAATCCTAGCTAACTTTTCTTTTTTTTTTAAGATTTATTTTATTTATTTGTTTTTTTACAAAGTCAGATATACAGAGTGGAGGAGACACAGAGAGAGAGAGATCTTCCGTCTGATGACTCACTCCCCAAGTGAGCACAACGGCTGATGCTATGCCGATCTGAAGCCAGGATCCAGGAACTTCTTCCGGGTATCCCACTGGGGTGCAGTGTCCCAACGCTTTGGGTCGTCCTTGCCTGCTTTCCCAGGCCACAAGGAGGGAGCTGGATGAGAAGTGGAGCTGCCGGGACTAGAACCGGGGCCCATATGGGATCCTGGTGCTTTCAAGGCGAGGACTTGAGCCGCTAGGCCCCTAGCTAACTTTTCAAACTTCTAAATTTTCTCCCCAGTATCACTTTGCCAGCTGTGGATCACATAGCTATAACACCTGTAACACACAACGGCATAATATACCAGGCAAAGCCTTACAATCAACATTATTTCCATTTATTTGGCTGTTCTCCCAAACCCAGTTGAGGAAAGGTTATTAAAAAAATCCCACTACTACTCAGAAGTCTACTGAAGACCAGCTAGAACAATCAATCAGAGTTGGACCCGTTTTATTAACAGCAAAACTCAAGGGAAAGAGCCCAGTGCAGTAGCCAAGTGGCTAAAGCCCTCCCCTTGAATGCTTCAGGATCCCATCTTGGTGGCAGTTCATGCCCCCACCAGCCTCACTTCCCATCCAGCTCCAAGGCTGTGGCCTGGGAAAGCAGCCGAGGATGGCCCAAAGCCTTGGGATCCTGAACCCACATGGGAAACCCAGAAGAGGCTCCTGGCTCTGGATGGGCTCAACTCTGGCTGTTGCAGTCGCTTGGGTAGTGAATGTGAAGATCGTTCTCTGTATATCTGACTTTGTGATAAAAATCTTAAAAAGAATCTAAGGAATGACCAGATTCCTTCTCCTTTCAAAGAAATTTTGAAGCAGTTGATTCAGACCCCATTTGCCGATAATGCCCAAAGCTGGTCCAGACTGAAGCCAAAAGTTAAGATCTCAACCCGGCCTTGAAGTGGCAGAGATTCAATATCGACTACAGAGCACACACTGGGCAAAAAGGTGAAATCAAAGTAAAACAAGGACAAAACGTCAAAGGTTTATGTTTTAGGAATCCCTGACAGCATCTTAAGCAAAGGCAGGGGACCCCTTCTATGGGCAAAAATGGGTTTTACTTTTTGGATTTAAGTAATTCAAAGAATAAGCCTTTAACGAGCAAATATAATGGCAAGAACTGGGCAGACCAGAAAGGAAGGAACCAAAACTTTCTTTCCAGTTGCCCTTATTTATTTATTTAAATTAAAAAAAAAAAAAAAGGCAGACATATAGAGAGGAAGATCTTCCAGTTGCAGATTCAACTCCTAAGTGACTGCAACGGCTAGAGCTGAGGTGATCCGAAGCCAGGAGCTTCTTCCAGGTCTTCAAAGCGACTGCAAGGTCCCAAGTCTTTGCACCTTCCTCTAATGCTTTTTCAGGCAACAAGCAGGGAGCTGGATGGGAAGCGGGGCTGCTGGGGTTAGAACCTCACCCATACAGGAATCCACCTCATTCCAGGTGAGGAGGTTTGCAGCTGGGCTACTGCACTGAGCCCATGGAGATCAGGATTAGCCTGCAGTGCTTTATGTTTGCCTATGGATGATACAGTTCGCTCCCTCAAATCCCCTTTCTGTAAATCTACCTTTCAAATTAATATAGAAATGTATCTTTTAATAATGTTTTAATGGGGCTGGCTCAGTTGGTTAATCCCACTCTGCCAAGTGCCAAGCTCTCATATGGATGCTTGCTCATGTCCCTTCACATAAAGCTGTTCCACTTTCCATGCAGCCACTTGCTTGTTGCCTGATAAAGTAGCAGAGGATGGCTCCAAACCTCAGAACTCTACCCTACATGGGAGACCCAAGGCAAGTTCCTGGCTCTTGGCTTTGGATCAGTTCAGTAGCAGTGGCAGCAGTTATTTCGGGAATGACTGAAGCATGGAGGATGTTTCTCCTTCCAGTAAATTTGTCACACATACACAAACACAGGAATACAGTCTAAGATGACAACTGCAACATATTCTGTGTACTACGTCATATCCATGATTTTAAAATTGTCACATCAAATGTAACTGTTAATGCTTAAATCCAAATGTCAACTAGGAGAATTTTTAGTTTATTTCCGATCCATAGTTGCTAACTGTACCATACAGAAATCTATCAGCCACAGTCATCTGCAATCCAATAATCTATATTGTTATCTCACAAATTCCCAAATAATTTAAACGGGTAAATTATTATTGCAACCACTTTCCATAAATTTTTAGAGTTGTATTATATCCCTCCATGAACTATAATACAAATGGCAACACTTTAATTTTACTAACTTTTTGATAGTGTATTATTGGCAGGACAGGACATATAAAATGAGGTATCATAGTTGTGCTGACACAATGGCAATCAAAGTAAAAAAAAAAAATAACAGAAGATGGGTGGGGCTTCTCCCGTTATTTCTGCCCTTATCAGATACAGAAAATAATAATATGGAAACATTGGTCTATCCTACTTTCCTGTAGCCCTCGAACCTTTGTGCCAAATCAACTATGTAAAGATTATCAAATAAAATAATTTAAAAAATATATAATAGAAAAATAATGAAGAAACAGAATCAATAAGTCCAGAAAAAAAATCACAGACAAGCCAGTGGTCCTTACACACAAATAGAAAAAAAATGGACAAGTATCAAGGAAAAAAAACAAACAAACAAAAAAAAACTGACTCCAAACTTCCAAACTTATTTGTTTGAAGACTGTCATTCAGCATAGTCCATTGAAGATGGGTCAGGGAGGCATATTTTGCTTTGAAAGCATGTATTGCTCATGACTACCAAGCAATTTATTTTTTTTAACCTAACTGTGATACAAAAATCTTACTTAGATGGTTTATATTAAATTAGAATAGAAAAACTTCAGCATACCTGTCATAATAATCACGTTGAAAGTCATAGTCCAAGTCAAAAGAGGAGCTGAAAAGTAAATACCAGAGAAGATTAATTTGGTGCTTGTGACATCGATTCATAACAGATGGGGGAAAACCCCCCCCATGAACCAAGCACATCAAAAAGGTAAAAACAAGGTTAGCATGGAATAATCAATCCCCATCATTCAAATAAACTGGTTACAATTAGCTCAGACCACTGCACATGCAGTGTGAAACTGGCAATTTACGTAAAAGTTCACTAAAGCCAACATTCAAAACAACAGATAAAAAGACTACAAAATGTGACAGCTAATTATTGTATCAGCCCCCCTTGAGTTTGAGTCTCCAGATTCTTAAAAGCTACACACTGCTCTTGAATGATTAATTTATGCCAAAAAAAATGCAATTAGCATGGAAACTTCAGAGATTCCTAATATACAACAGGGGCAGAACAGGAGGCATATTAACAAAATCATTACAGCATAACTTTCTCACAGATAAAACAAATTACATGAACACCCCCCCACACATTCATTAAACAGATAGAGAAGATGCCCAGTGATGGACACAATGCAGTTATAAATAATAAAGTTCCGGACCTGAGTAGAGGGGACGGAGAAGGGTGTTCTGGTACTGACCCGTACATCTCCGCTGCAGATCGTTTCACGCCTGCTTTCCCTCGGTTCACTTTTGGCTCTGCAGCCAGATTAATATCTGAAAAAGTAGAAAAATAAAATGGTAAATCCAATGACCATTCTTTGGGATAAGAATTTACAAGATACATGACAGTATACAATCAGAACATTAAATAATCTCATAAGATCACTTAAACTATTCAACTCTTATGAATATCTCAATTGAAAGCATCAAAAATGGAAATACTGTGTAAACAGTAACTTTCCACTTGTCCCAGTACCAAGGAACTGAGGAATCATCACCTCATATCAACCCAGAATCTCAATTTGTACATATTACAAATTAGCCATATTTCAAGTCAGCTCCTGTGAATGTGTGGGCTAACACACTCATGAGAGACCCAGAATTATCTCATGGATCCTTGCTTCAGACCTAGCACTGGCTGTCAGATATTTGGGGAGGAAAGCAGCAGCAAAGACCCGCTGTCCACCCCCTATGCACTTTTTTTTTTCTTCTAAGATGTATTTTTATTAGAATGATTGACAGAGATAGAAAAACAGACAAAAATCTTCCATTTGCTGGTTCATTCCTCTGGTCACAACGGCCAGAGTAGAACTGATCTGAACATAGGAGTCAGAAGGTTCCTCTTGGTCCCAAAGACTTGAGCCATCCTCTACTGCTCAGGGACCTGGATTAGAAGTGAACACTAGGACAGGAACTAGTACACATATGGGCTTCCAGTGATAGCATGCAGATCAGGCTACAGTGCTACCTTGCAGGTTTTCAAACTTGGTGATAAAAATACACAGCAGTTTTATACAAAAAATTTCCAGCAATTTAAAAACAGCCAAGGTGTTCTTGGGTAATTGGCTTCAGCCTGGTTCCTTCCAGCTAACAACCAACCTTCTGCTGAGGGCATTTTAAGTTATACAGGCATAAAAAGATCCTTCTGTGTTTCCCTATCCTCTGCTCCACAGGCTTATATTGAAAACTACAGTGAAATGTATTGAAAACATGCTTTAGTTCATCTTTACAACAGCTATGTTATGAATAACAAGTTCCATATCTTGTTGTTTGTTGTAGTTTTTGTATAGGATAAATAATTATGAAATTTACCAGAGGCCAAAACTATGGCAACAGGATACACTACCCTCTTCCTGCCTCACCACACTTCATGTATGAACCAGCTCTGCCTCCTTGCTTACATACTGAGAAAGCATGAGTACAGCTTAGGTCGTTGGGTCCCAAGTGGGAGATTTGGAGGAAATCCCTGGCTTAGCTCTGGCTTTTGTAGTCATTTGGAATGTGAACCAAAGTCACTTGGAAAAAACAAACCTGATGTATTCTCAATCACAACCAAGTTATATAGCAAGCTAAACCCATCAGAAGTGTCTTCTCAACTCTTAATTTTTCTGGACATTATTGTGTAGACAAGTACTCTAAAATATTACCTCAAATACATGAGAAATTTTAACTCGGCAATGTTGTACATACAGCTTGTTCAACCCACTCACCCTCGAAACCTGACTGCAGAGCCAAGTGGTCTGACTACATTAATGTATCTGTTACAACCTTCCTGAGTAGGAGAGTACCATTCTACACCATTTGTCATGTCTAAAATCTGACCCTTGAGAGCGGCCAAGCCTCTAAATCAAAAAACAGTAAAGAGTATCCTTCCATTTAATACATTGTGTATAAAAATAACTGAATGATGAAGACTACTTATATGCCAGAATCTCAATTTTAATGAATTAATGATGGAGAATTGAATCCATGAACAGAAGAAAAACTAGGCTAAAATTCTTTAAATGAAAAAAATATGCATTCAACTCCAAACTTACCTAAAACCTGGCCAGCAATCATTCTTCCGTCCTCTCCTGCTACAGCAGCTCGGGCATTTCTCTCATTAACATATTGAACGAAGGCAAAGCCCTTATGGACAGAGCAGCCCACGATTTTGCCATACTTTGAGAAGATTGCCTCCACATCAGACTTCTTAACAACGAGAGTGTTGAGATTCCCAATGAACACACGGGAGTTCATGGAGCGGGGATCTGTCTTGTTGGTCACATTGCTTGCCATTGCGCCTGCTGGTAAGGGTCCTCACCAAGTGAAAAACTACAAGAAAAAAAATAATTCAGGTGAACAGATGCTGCAAACAGTCCAACTTCATCACAAAACATTTTCAACTACTGTCTATGAAGGAAGAATGGTCCGCTTAAGGATTTTACAGGAGTACGTCTATTATTACTTCTTAAATCCATCCCTAAGACTAACTGCTAACTAACTGCTCAGCAGCACAAGGTTAGCACAGGTTAATCATCTTAGACAGTAATTCAAAGAGCTGCGTACTGAGTTTCAACAAGTGGTAATTTCCTAAGGACTCTACCACCGATCTTCCATGTCATCATACACCATAGTCTTAGATAATTTTATTAAGCAATTCATCCACATATCACAAAATACACAATTCCCCAAATTCTGGCACAAATAATTCAGCTAAACTAATCTGGACAACTTAGAACTTTGCCTTTCTATTATTAAAAGAGAAATATAAACAGATTTTATTCACCCTGCCTATGTCCATTTCCAGACACTTCAACAGAATCATGCTACCAAAATATCAACACAATCTTGTAATCAGACCAACAGAACTCTACTTTCTACTTAATGACTGCCAAAATAGCAGTTATTCTTAATACTGGATGGTGATGATGATAAACTAGCCACTGAACACTGCATGGATAAATAAAAGACCAGGGAAGATAAGGTGAAGAAAAGAACTTTGCTGTGCTTGTTTAAAACCCAAAATACCTTTTCCTGGTTATGTTTTATGGATAATTCTCATAATGTTAGATTGATGAAAATTTCCAATTGAGTAAAAACGCTTCTTCAATTATTTCAGCTTTGTTATTCTATGGATCCTTTATCCTAACCCAAAATGAATTAAGAAGCCCAGATCCTCCCTCACAGGATCTAATGTCATCGGAACAACAGCCAGGAGCCCTGAGTGGTCCTCAGAAACAGAAGATCAGTAAACTTCCTTCAGGCCCAAGGAGAGGAGCTTTCTCTGGTCCTAACTTAGTTCCAACTTTGGCTCCCCACCCTCTCTTACAATGAACATCAGTTAGACAGAAACCAATAAGAAAACCTTAAGACAGACAGAAAACAGTCAGCTTGGACTCCCATATACCTAACTAGGTAGGACACAAAGGTTAGTTACTCCTCATTACGGTATTGAAGATTTCTCTGCATACCCCTCCTAAAACGGTTCTGCTCCTGAATTATTAATATATGCTAAGTTTGAGTTAAAAGCCTGTTTGCACTATCCTAAAATTCACGAAGTTCAGTAAAAATCATGCTTGAATACTAGAAACTGCTACATTTAAAATACCATTTAAAGGTGTACAGCAGCCGATCATGTATAAACTAAAACTGAATGTCAATGAAGTAGTCACAGGATGTCGTTAAGAACTTGCATATTCTAACATACTGGTCACTCAATACCATGTCAACTAACTTCTTGTAAATTGTTGAAATTGTGTAGTCGCTTTTCATAGGGGGGGATGATATTCTGCCAGCTCTACTTTCAGACCAAGGATGGTCTCCCAACGAAACTGTTGAATTTATCTGGACAATAAGATGCTGGACGCAATGAAGGAATCATGACTGGATATGATCTGTACTACTGGTAAACAATATGTAGGAATTCAGTATGGGGGGAGGGCTTTTTGGAGGGGTTGAGGGGATCCCAGAGCCTATGAAACTGTCATAAAAAAAAATTAAAGGAGAAAAAGCAACAAGTGATGGCTAATTCCTTCTTACACGTTCGTGAATCAGTTGCCTTGCCACTTTACTTTTCATTCTGGAACTGTTTTGTATGTGCTCACTGCTACAATAAACTTTATCACATGCTTAACAAAAAAAAGCAATACTGACCATTTACTTTCCTTTCAACCTATTAGAAAATATTAAACAATCACATCAAAAAGGTACCAGTATTTAGTATGTTAGCCTTACAATCAAGTGAACTGCCGCATACTGTTTCTTATGGATGACATGAAATGGAAATGTATGTATTTATAATAAGATAATTAGTATCATTTACATATCATACCTAAATGATTCTGATACTGAACAGCTCCTAATTAGGTGGGAATAATTACTGAAAATACATAGCTCTCTCTCTGAGGTTTTTCTGAATTTCTAAGAATTTTTTTTAAGATCATGGTTTCAATGTTAATATTAAACAATCAAAAGAGTGGCCACTGAAAATCAACAACAGCGTAAACTGTGAGTGCCAGATATCTTTCCGACACTATTAGAGGATTACTGTCACATCAAGGCACAGTAACACCACTACATTCTTACAAAAATAAAAATAAACCCAGAACCTTACTACCCTAATCAGTGGTTCATATGGGCATGCATCCTTCTTAATTTTAATAAACAAAATTAGCAAAAAGCTGGTGGAGAACTCCGCTTTAAAATTACCACCCTTCATCAAAAATCACCAAAATGGCAAAAACAAAAATTCAAGGAAAAAGAAATCACGATGTCTGTCCTCTTAAACCAATAAGTGTAAATACCAAGATTATAATTTTCTTCACTTTTGACTCTGGCTGCCACATTGTATTGTGTAAATCCTGCCTCCAAAATAATTATTTCTTAATAAGTCACAATTACAGGGCTTTTTCACTTAAATATAATACAACAAACCTTAATAAATATGTTTGCATTGGCTTTATAAAAGATGCTGTGTACTGCTGAAGAGTTGCAAGGATGGAGCCATTTCCTCTACTTTTTCAAAGTTGGGAAGGACTACCCAAGCCAATGTTGACAACAAAAATCCAACCCAGGTACTATTTTAAGACATAAACCATTAATTCATTAGAGACTTGGTTATTCCCTTCCTCAGGAATTATAAACAATCCAGAATTATCAACATAGAAAATACATGATAGAAGGCATCACAATACTTAAAAATTTATTTTATCTAGCTTCTGAATATCCCTTATTAAAAAGTAGCTAGCTTTTTCGTATTTCAAACTTTTTACAGGATTATTAAGTTTGCCCTGAGGAAAAATTCATTGAAGTATATATTGCTGGCTCTTCCACTTCCCACCCAGCTTCCTGCTTGCAGCCTGGGATAGCAGCCGAGTACCCCATAGCCTTGGGACCTACACCCATGTGCCAAGACCTGGAGGAAGCTTAGACTCCATCTAGCTCAGCTCTGTCCACATGACAAGTTTGGGAGGGATCCAACGTATAGATACCATACTAGGAATTTACAATCCAGTTAATAAATATGTTCAACTGCGGATTTACATACTGGCATTTCCCAGGACTATGCTACTTCAGTCAACATGAGTCCTGCAGTGAAGTTTTGACAGGATCTTTGAAGAGATTCCCCTAAGAGGGCTGTCACAGAACAAATCTACTTTGCTTCCTTGCTTGCCATACATGCAGTCTTTATTCCAAATGCAACCATGAAACGTCTTCATCAAAACCTACACCTTTCATTTTAGCTTTTATCTCCAAAATTGTAGTAGCAATTTTTACTCTTTATAATGTTAACATAGTTGAGATGGATGCATGCCCACGTGTGCATCTGATTATGATGGGAAGGTCTACGTACAGAGGCAAGTGCCAACAAGAAGGGAAGGCTGACCTCTTTGCCATCAAACGAAATCAGCACCTGGAGATGGGGCATGGTCCACTGATGAAGCCTTAGACCCCACATATGTGGTGGTACAGATTTCCAAAAGGTGTTTGGTGACTTATGATAGTTTTCTAAGCAGTTATTGGTTTCCTTACTCCAGGTCCACTTGAGCAGAAGGGTTCAATTCAACAAGAAGTCACTTGCATGAATAGCCAATTGCGGGGTTGGGTGGAGGGAGGGAGGAGTAGAACAGAAATATCAGCATTGCCAAATTGCCTTAGTTATTTCAGTTCCTGATCTAACTTTTCAGTGCTATAGTGTAAATTTAATGTCTACATTCAAATACAATGTCACTCACTGCATATGCACAATACAATACATACAAAATTTACTCATTGTTGAGAAATTTTAGATATTGGCACTAGATGGCAGCAGTGAATTGGCAATTTGCAAAAATGGCTTTACACATTTAAAGTCATTCAAACTTCTCAAGTTTCTCAGCATCTGCTACTACTACCTACATACAGCATGTTATCATCTTCTTTTCTATGACCAAAGACAACTTGTTCCTCTTTGATTTTCCATTTCTGCGATTTTGACTGCATTGTGTTCTCCTTCTAATGGATCTGCATTGATCTGCAGAGCTCAGCATTCTTCAAGAACACAGCAGCCTCACCTTCCATACACTGGGATCCCATAAGGGTGCTGGTTCTAATCATAGCAGCACTGCTTTCCATCCAGCTCCCTGCTTTTGATTTGGGAAAGCAGTAAAGGACAGACTAAAGCCTTGGGAACCTGCGACCACATGGGAGACCCAGAAGAGGCTCCTGGCTTCCGACTGGTTCCGCCAGCCATTGCAGTCACTTGGGGACGGAGGATCTTCTTTTGTCTCTCCTCCTCTCTGTTCATGTTGCTTTCCAATAAAATAAAATCTTTAAAAAATACCTAAGCTTTTAGAGAGATGGTATTCTGGCACTGTACAATGCTAGTTCTCTACTTTTGGTACAAGCATCCCAGTTATTCTACATTTCATCCAGCTAACTAGCTACAGCCTGGGAAAGCAGAAAATGGTTCAAGAAACAGGAATTCCTGGTTCCTGCCTTCAGACTCTTAGCTCTGGGCATTTTGCCCACTTGGAGATTTCAAGCAGTTTGGAAGATGCTATACCTCTTGCTGGAACATGCTATATTCCTCTTGCTGAACATGCCTCCCACATAAAATCTTACCACAATATTTCATTATTTAAATAAAACGAATGTCTTTCTTGTCTCTACCACTTCCAAATTTTTATTTATTTTTTTAAAAGATTTATTTTTATTATTATTTTTTATTGGAAAGGCAGATATACTGAGAGGAAGAGAGAGAGAGGAAGATCTTCTGTCCGATGTTTCACTCCCCAAGTGAGCACAACGGCTGATGCTATGCCGATCCGAAGTCAGGAGCCTCTTCTGGGTCT